TAATAAATTTAAAAAAAAAAATTTTACAATTAAATTATTGTATTAATATTTGTTCGTTAATATAATCAATATAATATAACAAAAAAGTTATTATAGCACTATAAATAAGCCATATATGAGTACTGAGTGATGTGGTAGAGGCCTGTAGGAACCCACGCCAGTAGCGCTTTTCTGCCGCTTAAGTACATTTTATACGGAACTACTTCAAATATTTTAAAAAGTAATCAGTGTTTTAGAAAGATAAATGTATTCTCCAGATGTTTTATTTCAGCACGTTTTGCATTATTGTTGACCGTTTAATTACAAACGACGCTTGATTTTCAACTTGAAAATTTTTTTGTAAAAAAAATTGACTTTACCGATTTTTTTCAATGCCTAAGCCTACTAGTTTTTAATATTTTTTCATGTTTTATTATTTTCTGACTATCCAGCTTTAATAAAATACCAACTATAATGAAATTAAGCCAAATGCTGATTCTCAGTAACAAAAAAACTAACTAAAGTCAAAGTCGTCAATCCGCCATGTTTGGACGCCATTTTGGAGCAGTTCGTTCACTTTTTTTTGTGGGAACATTGGCTTTTTTTTAATAAATTGTCACAAGGAACACAACGATATGCAATTTATAGGGATGTGGGGGGGGGGTGCACGGTAAGGGGGTCTGGCCCACTGACTATTGGTGCAACCCCAAGTCTCCAGCTTCCTCGAAAAGTCCAACCAACTTGATCCTCTCCAATCTGCTTTCCGTCCCAGCTACTCCACACAATCCGCCTTAATTAAAATCACCAGCGACATTCAAACTGCAATAGATGATAAAAAGTTAACAATCCTTATCCTTCTCGACTTCTCCAAAGCCTTCGATTCCATCAACTTAAATGTTTCCATCCTTTTCAACAAACTGAAATTATTATCCTTCTCCAATAGTTCCATCTCTTGGTTTCAATCTTTCCTTTCACAACGTACCCAAGCAGTCTCCATACCCAACCAACCACTATCTACTTTCCTTTCTTTATCCTCTGGAGTTGCCCAGGGTTCAAACATATCTCCTCTCCTTTTCAGCTCCTACATTAACGATCTACCTAAATCAATTCTCCATTGTTCCCATCACCTTTATGCAGACGATTCACAGATGTACCTATCATTTTTCCCTCCTGAGTTACTGAGGGCATTTGCCAAATTCCAAGAAGACTTAGATCGAATCAGTGCCTGGGCAAATGTAAATGGATTAAGGTTAAATGCTGCCAAAACTCAGACCATTGTCATTGGTTCCAAGCCCCTCCTTAGATCCTATACAGACTTTCCCATCCTTCACCTTAATGATCAGCCAATCTCTTTCTACTCCTCTGTTAAAAATTTAGGATTTTTCATTGATCAAAACCTCTTTTGGAATCACCATATTTCTCATATCACTCGACGGACAATTTCCACCCTCAAACTATTCCATCACTTCCGCCATCTCCTACCTCAACATACGCGTAGACTCCTAGTTTCCTCTCTCATTTTCCCCCACTTTGACTATAGTTGTGTGGTGTATCATGGCCTCTCTGTGGAGCTCCATGATAGACTGAAAAGACTAATAAACAGCTGCGTAAGATTTGTGATCGGGGCCACAAGATACTCCCATGTTTCTCACCACTACGCTGAGTTAAAGTGGCTTTTCCCCTCCTTCCGAATACAATATTTCCTAGGTACGTTCCTCTACCAAATCATCAACAACCATCGTCCTTCTTACGCCTACAACCTTCTCCAGTTCAAATCCTCAGTCCATTCCCTGTCCACAAGATCTCGACCTTCTAACCTTTACATGCCTTCTCACAGATCTGCCTCATTCCAAAATTCCTTTATTGTTCGCTCTGTCAATTTCTGGAATTCCCTCCTATCAAAATTCGACATTCCCCATCCATATCCACATTCAAAACCCTCCTATTCCAATTCCTATCCCAAAAACAGTCAGATAGTTGCTAACCATTCGAGCTGATTTTAATAGAGAATTTGATACATTTTTATTTTTTAATTCTTTATTTTTTTCGTAAAAGTGTATACTGGTCTATAAGAGCAAATAGCTTTAAGTGTCTTGTCATAGTATTAATGGTTTTGTATATAGTTTAGTTTGTTTTGTATATAGAATTTTTTACCTTATATTTTTTTTACATTATTTCTTTTTTTCGATTGATTTTATTTTGGCCAGATGTAATATTTTAATTTTGTTCTATTTTGTTATTCTCATGGGACTGTGTCCCAGAATAAAGTTATTTTTTTATTTCTATTTCTATCAATTGTGTTTCTTTGTTTAAAAATAAATTACCGTAGTTTTTTTTTTAATTGACTTTATCGTATTTTTATTGGTGTTTCTTACACCTTTTTCTCATTTATCTACTTTTAAATTTTTTTTTTTTTTAATAATAGTTTTCTCGGCGTAAGTAAATAAGTTTTTCTGTGGTCCGTACACAAACAAAACATTCTAAGCGAAATCGAAATTCCCGATCACTGCGATATTGAGATTCCAATAAAAACAGTATACACTTTTATGAATTCAAGCTTGTTTACAATCAGTTATAAAACCACACATGCATCTAAATGCTAGGGAGTTTTTTAAAGCACAAGACTGTTAGCAGTTTTTTTTTAAATTTAATAAATGATTGTTGAAATTTGATACGGATGTTATGGCTATGTTCCATAAAACCTGAATTTTAATGCACTGTCTGCTGTTAAACAATTTTTAATATATTTCTTAAGCCATGGTATTTGGTTCGAAAGCTTATATTAGTTCTAAAATTATGATAATACTGAATACTATAAATTAATATTTCTCCTTTATTCAGCACATGCAAGGATTACTGAATATTGGACACATATCCCGATGGTCTCCGTTGAATCCTAGGAGCTAAGAAAAAAATTTTTTTTTCAATGTTTACGTTATTTAGTATTGTCCAAATTTTTAGGTTACAATATATCAATCGATTGTATTTTTTTGTGCAATATAAGAAAAAAAATTATTATTGTATCAAATGAGTTATTATGCACCATAAATTACAAAACCCAAAAGGCACTTCCGAATAAAGGAGGCCAAGTAAATTTTTGTTAACTAAAATCTATTTTGATTCGTTTTTCGGGCTCTTAAATACTAATTCTTATATAAATAAAAAAATACAATCTTTAGTACTTGACTTTCTTGAATGATTTTTTTCCCGTTAGCCAACTGAAATCTTTTCAGGATTTTCTTCAAATTAAATCTTAATATAACCGTTGGAAAACTGAATTACTGGTCTTACAACCATTAATATCTTTTGGACTTCATTTGTTTTAAGCTAGAAATTAAGGAAAACGTGTAACGCATTTTTAAAATATATCTTTAGTTCTAATTTATATATCAAGGTGGGGATTACACCATTTCACCATAAAAAAGTATTTATTATTGATACTAGACCGGTTTTAAATAAATATTATATTTGGCAGATCGCTACAACATAATCAAACGTATCCAGTCCAGAGTAATTAGAACAGTAGTCATTGCCCCATATTATGTCACCAGCAAGACTTTACACCATGACCTTAACATCCCATATGTCCATGACATCATCCCATCAAGATTCTCAAACTTTCAACAGAATATTATTCATCATTCAAATCCTCTAGCTCAATTCCTACCCAGCGCACACCATCCCTACAATCCCCTTCGAAGGTTAAAACGGCAGTGGCCTCGAGCCCTTTAGTAAGTATGCTTTTGGAGTCCTGGCAATAACCAGCTTCTCCATTCAAGCCCTGAGCATCTGTGGTTCTATTGAATTCCTTCAGTCTCCACTACCTTACTAGTGACTCGGCTGGAAGAAAGGCAATGGGATTTCCTGGAATCCTGCTTTGCCTTTCACTTTTGGAGGAAAAAGCTTGGCTCGAAATTAACTGGGCGAATGTAATTATTGTACATGGGAATTAATGTGTTCAGAAGATTTACTTTATTTTTACTGATTGATTTATTTCTTATTTCACTTATGTATGTTATTCTATTTTCATATTTTTTTTTTGCTCATTTATTTTTAAAAAAAATAATTTCCTTATTATATGTGTATATTGTACTAATGAACACATTTAGCCTTGGTAATTGTTGCCCTTCAATGTAGCAGATTGTAGTACTCTCTACTCAATAAAAAAATAAAGCTACAATATGGGAATAAATGGAACCAACTGACATAGCAATGTGGGAGTAAATATTTTTTTTAGGGAGAACAAAGTCGATATTCGTTTTTCGCTCCTCGAAAAATGCTAAAACCAATTTATAAATTCAAGTAGCAATAAAAAAATTAAAATTTTCTGCGGGAAAATTTTTGCCTCGGTCGGACCATTCGAAATTTTGTCGACTTGATTTTTTACAACAAAAAATTACTTGACCTACTTTACTGGAAGTGCCTTTTAGTTTTAGTAATTTATGACACATCATAACTCATTTCATATAATAGTCAATATTTTTTTGTTACTCTGCACGACAAATAAAATCGATTGATATATTGTATCCTGAAAATTTGGGAAAAGGAAAGGCAAAAATAAATAACATAAATTTTGTTTTAAAATACGTAAAATATATTTTTTTTCCGGCTCCTAGGGCCGATTAGGACGAAGGCAGGAATATGTGTCCAATATTTTTCGATGTAGTATCGCTGAAAAAGAATTGATTGAGATCGGTGACCCACATACTATATCTTCTCCTTTTAAATCTGTGGTATGTCTCTCTCCTCCTTGCCATTCTAAGATATTTTTTGAAATAGAATTAAAAAGGAAAAATTAGACTTTAACATATTATTCCTCCTGAATGTACTTCTTGTCACATTAAATCAATTCATAAATAATCAATTCAGTTTACACTTCGCTTATAGTATGTAGTAACCATCTACAACAACATAGCCACCTAGTTGCAGCCATAGAATATTTTTTATTTAAATTATTTAATCGATAAATGTGTTATGTTCTATTTATTGAGTGACTAATATGTGTAATTATTTTTTTTTAGAATTTCTAGATCACTTTAAAAAGAATTTAGAACAATGGCATAATTTCTATGAGCTAGGAGCTCCAGCTTTTAACGACATTCCGTACCCTTGGAACATTCAGTTGACCTTATTTCAGAAGTTAATCGTATTCCGCATCTTCCGTCCCGACCGGGTGAGTTGTGTTCTATTCTGTCAATAGCTGTTAAGTATTCAAGTAAACATATCCTATCATAAATATAGTTTGATTTTGTATGCTTAATTCTGTAAACTATCTTTGTTTCAAGTCATGAACCATTCGTAGCATTTTCATTTAGTGTTGCCCAAAATCGGTCCTGGTCTTGCAATTCGCAAGACCAAGACCTAGGCTGGTAAATAATTTTTTTTTTTTAAATAAACATTAATGCTAAATATTTACTAATACTTGATAATTTAGTTACTATATGTAAAGGATTGGTATAACCAACATACTTTTGCATTTAACTCTTCTAATTTTTCGTTCATGCTTAGTTAGGTTTTTTCTATCTAAAAAATGACAGAGATATCTCTATAGTAATAAGCTAATAGGTAAATGCAAGACTGTTGCGAGACTTTTGCGCAAGACCATGACCAAGATCAAGACTGAGTTCGCATAGACTCACCTTGGTCTCGCATTTGGGCAACACTAGTTTCAATTGAAAATAAATGATGACTTTAGGAATCTCCTCTTTTAGGTAAACAGCTTTTGCTATTGATTTAATTATGATCAGTACATAGAAGTTAACATGTAGAATTGCAACTATTTTACAATATATTAGTATAATATATGTATTGAATATTTAATAGTTGACCGTTGCATTATAAAGGGAGGAGATGGTCCGGGGTGACGGCCATAAATAAGCTAAATAGTGGCAAAACTATTTAGTGGCTTTTAATAAAATAGTTTTGCCAGTATTTAGCCTATTTATGACCGCCACCCCGGACCATCTCCTTCCTTTATAATATATGTATTATATTTAGCTCATTCCTTTCTTATTTAATAACTATTCCTTATTCCGTTATGTACATCCTGTGGTATTTTAATATTTCCAGCTTATTCCTCTTAACTAAATAATAAATTAAGGGGGGAAACCTGGCGGTTGAGCGTGGCCTGGCCAGATCACCTCACTACAGAACCGTCGGCCTTGAAATAATATTTCCAAACCAAGTACTGAATCCAAAACCCTTCTTGGTACGGTTTTTTAAAAATTATATTTAACTATATCCCCATCATTATTTTAATATGTTAATGATATGTGGGTTAACTCAGTAGGTATGTTACTGGACTACTAATTCCAGGGCCCTTCATTCCTCCTATTGCAAAATGTTCATTGAATGTTCCATCAGTCTTGAATTGAGTGGCTTCATATCCAAGACGGACATCTGTCATTTTTAATAAATTGAGAAAAGCCAATTTTCGTAATATGGCATCCATTTAGACCAATTCTAATTATAGTTTTTAATAATATAAAGCAAGGCTGTGTTACTTCACCATGTTTATTGTGTTTCATTATTTCACCACGTTACAGTCCATTATTGAATTATAGTCTCTTTGTAATGCATATAGGGAGTAATATTAAATCAAATGTCTTGAAATTGTTCATAGCCGAAACGTAGACAATGTAAAAAAAAAAATAATAATAAACATGGGGAAATAATATAGCCTTGATAAATTTATCATATTAAATATACTTCGTATTATAATAATGGGTACTTCGAGGCGGTCTCATGTGTCCCACGTTTACGGTGAGTTAATGTGGCTCTCTCCTTCTTCCCACCGACAATATATCCTTGGATCTTACCTATTCCAAACGATCAACAACCGACACCCTTCTTACATCTACAGTCTCCTACAGTTCAAACCCTGGGTCCAATCCCAGAAAACAAGGTTCCGATAGAATTATATTTATACCCCTTCATTTCCCTTCCCACAGAACAAAGACATTTGAATGTCGCCATGCCTCTTCCTTGTCCTCATTCAAATATCATCTCTACAAATTCCTTCTCACGTCCCAAAATGACGCTGTAGAAGGAAATAAATTTTCTGAATCAAATTTCGATTGAAGTGAATGATTGTTGAAATTGTTTAAGTTTTAATTTTAAGAATCAACGCATAGTTATAATAATAATAATAATAATAATAAGATAATTTTCTTATACGAATCTTCAAGAGTCACTTACCTAGCCTACAGTCTACCTAGCTAGTGAATCATGATGTCTCCCTATCCTTTCAATATGTTTGTTTTAACAGAGAAATATTTATACCTTACTACGTATTACTTTTATGTTTATTTATATTATATTATTATCTAGTAAAAACTTATATCTGCTCTCTTATGTACATAATGCTTTATGTTTTTTTGTTTTCTGTTTCCAGCTTATACCAATGATAGAAACCTTCATCGAAAAACAAGCTGGTTCGGACTTCATAGAAGCCCCGCCAGTAAACTTGAATGAAACGATAAAAAACTGTGCTCCGTATACGCCAATCATTTTTGTCCTTTCACCTGGAGCAGATCCGTTAAAATCGCTATTAGAATTGGCCAAAGCCAATAATTCGAAGTTCATGACAATATCACTTGGACAAGGACAGGTATTTAGATTAAATTTTTTGGTTTATGAAATAAAGTACCCAATATGGTACTTATATTTTTCCTAAAATATCATATATTAGTGACTACCAGTGAATTTATTGAGATAAGGTCTTTCGGACTGAATCCCCCTTAAAACGGAAATTAATTTTTAATTAAATCGTTTCTATATATTGTCATTAAAAATATTCAATCAATGACATTAGGTAAAATAAGTAGGTAAACTACTTTAAATGGTGTTAAAAAATACCTAAGATATCTTCATTTGCGGGTTCACTACTATTAGTAGCAGATAGTTTAGCCAAAAATCGGTCTTGGTCTTTTTTTTTTTTAATAAAAAGTAAGGCAAAATAGTTACTAATACTTGACAATTTTAGTTACTGTAAGTAAAGAATTGGTATGACCAATATACTTCTTTATTTAAGTATTCTATTTTTTTCATTCAGGCTTAGTTAGGTTTCTCCTATCTAAAATATTACAGTATTTTTTCTATAATCATAATCTAATAGACAACTGCAAGACTATTGAGCAAGGCATTTAGGCAACACTAGTAACAGAAACTAACATAGCTGGTTGCATCCTTCGGAAATTGTTGCCCAAAATGCAAGACCGCCTAACTGATGCAAGACCAAGATCAAGCATGCTAAAAAAAATCTATTTTTCTAATACAAATTAAGGCAAAATAGTTACTAATACTTGACAATTTTAGTTACTATGTGTAAAGAATTAGTATGATCAATATAATTTTGCATTTAACTCTTCTGAATTTCCATTCGGGCTTAGTTAGGTTCTTCCTATCTAAAAAATTACAGTAATATCTCTATCGTGATAAGCTAATATTTAAATGCAAGACTGTTGCGAGACTCTTGCGCAAGACCAAGACCACAATTCGTTTCGGTCTCGCATTTGGGCTACACTATTCGGAAACTTCTCTTCGTGTTGTGTGTGTTTAAGTGTTCTGTCGTGTTGGGAATGTTGATAAAACCAATAAACTCCAAATAAAGTCAAATAAACGACCTGGCTGTTTTATGCCATATTAAACTTAAACAAACAACTCTTGCCAGTTGCGTAACTAAAGTCTATTACACCCCCAGGCCAAACCCCAAATTTTCAAAACACGCTCCTGCCCAATAGAGAAGTCCAACACAGCCAAGTTCCTACTTTAAATATAATGAAAAATCAAGTTGCACTACTGCCAGGAATGACTAACAGAAATATAAGCAGAGACAGAGTCTAGACATGCATGGTTCCTACAAAATTCATGTCAACTTAAGAGGAGACCTAACTGGCCAGCACTCAATTAACATATGCACCGGTTTTTGTAAGAAGAGAAATGGAGTAGAAATTCTAGCGGCCTAGCAAGGAGGCCTGAGGCCTTGGAAGAGAGAGAAAAAACGAGAAGTACCATAAAAGAAGAATGTACCTAACAGTAGTTTTTATTCACCACCGACCTAATCCACCTCAACCTCAATAATTTATAATATGCAAATCAAATTTATTAACATACTAACTAATATTTTAATAGTCTATAACTCACATTATAATATAATTCAAAATACAGCAACCATATTTTACTTCTAACCATCAAATCATTTAATTATACTATCCGTTTAACTCCATAGTTTTCTTCTAATCAAATCCTTTAGTACGCAACAGTCAAATAAGAATCAGTACCCTATAGCAGAATTGTCAGGCCAATATCCCTGACATCTGCGGAAGGGTTTGGCTTAATAAATTAAACAACTACATTTTTATAATCAACGCTAATGGGGAAGCCTTGATCCCGTGGATTTTTCTCTTTTGCTTCTCTCCTGACGGTGAGCCGTTGATGTATGAGAAGTTTTTCTATCTTTACAAGCTAAAACATGTCGATGTTTCTTTCTGACGGAAATATAATTTATATTAATGTAATGTTTTTACAATATTCATTCCAATGGTAATTTGCCATCCTCTTTTTCAAAGGGCCCTGTCGCTGAACAGATGATAAGAGACAATTATTCACCTTACAATTGGATCTGCTTGCAAAACTGCCACTTGTTAACGTCATGGATGCCTAGGCTTGAAATGATTTGTGAAGAACTGCCAGGTTTAAGACACGAAGCCGAACTATTAAATTTTCGCCTCTTCCTGACAAGCTATCCGTCAGATAAGGTAAAATATAAAAGATATAATTGAGTTTTTAGACCAAGTTTATTTTAAAATTTGACTAATTATTATTTTTCAGTTCCCAGTCACAATCCTCCAAAATGGGATAAAAATTATTAATGAATCTCCCTCTGGACTAAAAAACAGTCTCCTGAAGTGTTACTCTTCACCGCCTGTTTCATCGTTAGACTTTTATTATTCCTGCGAAAAGAAGGATTTAATATTCTGCAGACTATTGCTTGGTATTTCCTTTTTTCACGCCGTTGTACTAGAGCGTCGAACATTCGGCCCAATTGGATGGAATATACCATACGGTTTCAACGACTCCGATTATCTTATATCGATTAACCAGTTGCAAGTAAGTAATATCTTAATTTATTTTCAGTTACATCCATTATATACATTTTAAACGTCCGAATATGTATCAATGTACTCCTCTTGTGTAATCAAGCCTTATTGATGTTTTATGACATTTCTTATTAATTTTAATAAAAAATCTTTTTTACTACAACTAAATGGTTTCAAGACATGTTAATTCATTCACCTGCGTTTTGCTTTTCAAACTAGATTTCAAACACACACTGCTAAAATATTACACTTCATTTATATTTAATTTTGTCCACAGATTTTTATCAACAAATACAGCAAAATACCATACAAGGCAGTGTTATATTTGACTGGAGAGTGCAATTACGGCGGAAGAGTAACTGATAATTGGGATAGGCGAACACTCAACACACTACTAGAGGACTACGTTAGCCATGACATGATTTACGGCGAAGAATTTACCCTCTGCGACGGAGACATAAGATTTAAACCTCCAGCGTCTTACTACTTCAGGGATGTCTATAACTTCATAGCAGTAAGGGACACAACCATATTTTTACCATAATCATAATATTTTTTATTAATATCAAATTTTGATATAGTTATATTTAATTTCATTATTAAAAATTAAATATAATTATGTTAAACAACTGTTTTGGTACAATAAGTAGCAGCAGGAATATGCGCCCTTTAATTAGTTTTACATTTTGTTGAGAAGGTTTCAGAATATTGCCCTTAATATGCCGTACAGATCCCTTTTTATCAAGAGAGAAATACTTTATTGTCATATAAAATATAAAAGATTGCTGCCTAATTATATTGGGGTGTTATATACTCAGCGTCCTCGTTAATCCGTAGGACAATAAATGAACTTATATATAAATATACAGAAGTGGTTAGTTTATATTAGTAAAATAAATAAATAAATATATATATATATATATATATATATATATATATATATATGCTAACTATATATATACAAATACATGATAGTTAGCCGAAACATCCACCCTAATAACATGATCTGCGTGGATTCTAAGTCATTCACGAAATTAGACAGATTCAAATACCTCAGCTCCACAATAACCTCAATAAATCAACTAACAGAGCTAGACCAGCGATTAACAAGTGCAAACAGATCTTTCTTCTTTCTTTCAAAGGTGCTGAAATCCAGAAAAATCTCCAGAAATCTCAAAATAAGGGTTTACAACGCCGTGATTAAGCCAGTTCTGCTGTACGGCTGTGAAACCTGGGCTCTAACTGGTACATTAGAAGCCAGAATTGAGAGATTCGAAAGAAAGGTTCTACGTAGGATAACAGGACCCATGTGGGACCAGAATATTGACACAGGGAGGAGAAGGAACAATAAAGAACTATTGAAAGAAATAAGTCAGTCAATATCTCATGACATGAAGGCAAGGAGGTTAAGATGTGCAGGGCATGTAGCTCGTAGTAATCCATCATGACGTCTCTACACGTCAATGAATGCCAGAGTAGTAGGTAAAAGACCACGTGGAAGGCCAAAAACCAGATGGATAGATAGGATAAAGAAAGATACGGCTGAGCTTCATGCCGCAAACTGGAAAGCAGTAGCCCAGGATAGGCAGAGGTGGAGAAGGCTGGTTCAGGCGGCCAAAGATCTACAATTTTTTCCCCTTTTTTTAAACATTTAATTTCCCTTTCTCTCACTTCTCTCTCTTTTTTTTAATTTTTCATTAAATAAATGAATACATAAATTAAAACTCTCAGCCTAGCCATGCACGTGATGGTAAATAATTCCCAGGGTGTCGACGGCTATATTTTCAGCCAAACTCGCTACGTCCCTAATGTTGACACCTAGTTCCTCGAGGAAGCCCCTTGTTCTTTCTGGAATTGTTCCCGAGACCCAAACCAGAGGCCTCTCTCGGTGAACTCTCTCTCTCTCTCTCTGAAAGTCTCGCGGATTGTTAACATTAACATGGACCTAAACCTTTGAAAATTGCTTCATCTGACTAATTTTTTATCTCGGAAATGGAGCGTTTTCTTTGTGGAGATGGGTAAACTTTTATTTCTAATGAGTTGGTAAAAAGTGCGATGTTTGTGGTTTTCAATTGAATCTTAAGTTAGTTCGATCACAGGATCGACAAAAAGATGGCCTACAAAAATATTGAACCTTTTTGAAGAGACTAAAATTCAATGTTAGGTTATAATTGGAAACATTTCTACCACGCACACTTATGTCTCCAAAATGCAGGCAAAGAATAAAAAAAAAGTTAAGAAAACTGTAAAAGTTTCACCAATTCAAGCATAATCAAACAGAAAAAAAAATTGAAGATCACGTCATTCCATGACATTCTACCGCGTATCGGAAAGAAGAGAAGGTAATACAGCTGAGATAGGTTATAACAAAACAGTTGATTTTAAAGAAAAATAAATCTGATGTGTCCACTCACACGACTTTCCTACCTATTTTATAAAAGTATTTATATCTTTACATATATCCATCAAGAAACAAAAAAAAACTTGAATTAGATTTATTTTCCTAAAAGTTAATCAAAGAAAAGATTTTAGTACGATTTATTCGATAAACTAAAGCAATGTAAACCGGCTTAAGGTAGATCAGTGTAAAAATTTCAATACCCTCTAATATTCATGATCAAAAACTTTTTGCCGTAGCCTTATTTTGTCAAACAATAATTTCTGTTAAAAGTAGCAGAAATAGTGAAGTTTGTGTGATGCAGGCAACAGATTTTCTTACTTTCACTTATTTATCTTTTTTCTCTCGTTCAACCATTTCTGGCACGAGGAAATGAATCCGTAATATTACATTGGAAATTGAATAGCTATAACTTCGCTAAAATTGCTAACACAGAAAGTATAATTGTAATAACGAGAATATATATATATATAAATATATATATGAAAATACACATAAGAGGAAGGTTATCTTAAAAAACAGCTGATCACGCAGATGAAGATAAAAACCAAAACAAATGAATAATTGTAATTAGACTCATCCACAATAGTCAATCCTTCAAATTTATTCAAATTTCTGCCGTCAGTCCCATAATTAACAGTATTATCCAATTTCTATGCCATAGGCATGACCTCAAGCACCGTTCTCTTAGAACTATTCTTCTATGTCTGTAACACTCGAACATTGCCAAAATCAAATTTATGATTTAATACCTGTCCTGATTTAATAACTGGTTAATATCTGAGTTGAAGGGGCTTTATCCTACTTTTCGACGACAATTCCTCCTTCATGTCTTGGTATTTATTGGTTGAGCTCTTACCTCCAAGTAGCTGGAAAAATGATACACTATTGTTCACTATTCTTGAAAGATCTATCTCTCTTCTTTGTCTTCATCATCTTGAAATCTTGAATCAGGTTTTTCTGGTGTCTGGATTTGAGATTCTTCTACATTTGGCAGCCTTCGTAGTTGGTATGGTTTCTCTACTTTCCCCATTGTGTAATATAATCTGGTGACATCGTATATTTTTTCGATACCTGGTGATGGCTCCAAGTCTACAAAAAACAATGGTAGAGAGATTTTATTTCTTAACCCTGGCTGCTCCTTGTACTCCTTTAAGACGTTGGTCACCTGACGTACATTGTACACAACCATGTGCCGTTAGTTCTTCTTTAATCACTTCAGTTGGGGTTGAGGAGTGCAGATTTCTTATTACTACTCGTAAAGATCTCACCTGCCTAAGCTGGTACGTATGAAAATTTTCATTCGTTTCTGGTAGGTATTTCACTATTTTTCGGTAGTTTTCAGCAGTATCTGGTGTTATTTTTGTATCGTTGGTCCTCTTAAGACATGAATAACTGCCAGAGCAGGTTTTATTTAGTTGGGTGCAAAATAACTGGAAATTTTTCACAAATATCGGAGGGTGCCTTGGTTCTCTGGGCATAGCTGCAGACTCCATTACCTCTCGGTCATTTTGAAGCATGTGGTAGGGGTTAGGAGTAAAGAAAGGGGATGAATCGGCGTTTCTTGTGAAGAAGTACCTGGTTGGGGATGAGGTTCTGATTTTGAAATGTTCACATTGGTTATTGGAGGTGTTTCTTTTAGACAGCAACGAGTTCTTTGTTTGGCTGGTGAACCACGAGGAATACTAACGCCGTCTGACCGAGTCCTCTTGGTCAACTTACCGGACATCACTTGGTGACAATACCGCATATCATAAGACAAGAAAGAGAAAAAAAAATACAATTATAAAATAAAAAAAAATATATCAAACAGCAAATAACAACTGATCTGATGTACACGTGAAATGTATTCAATGAAAAATCAGAGAGATTAGGCTGAAAAATAGGCAAATACTGAGAGACCAGTTGAGAGCACAACCTTCCAATAAAAAAATAAATAAATAAATAAAGATACTTTAGAGGATACTAATAATGAAAATTAGCCATTTAAGCCATGTTAGAGAACATCAATGAGAATAAAACCTACATGATATTAAAAACTGCTTTATAATACACTGATATCCTGAGTTTAATCAAAATCGTTAGAGCCGTTTTTGATAAAATTGTAAAAAGGTGTTAAATCGACGATTTAATGTACGACTTTAGTTTTGCCGATTTTGACGAAAATGTTACTGTAACATTACAGGTTTATTGAATCCTTAATACGCAATTTGAGTTCGGTACGACTTTTTGAGCTAGACTGTTCACATACACGCACAGAAAGACCATTTTGTGGGACTTGGTTATTTAGACTCGGGGGTTATTTGGACCCCAAAACGTGTTGAAAACTCAGAATCGAAAATTTTCACGTTCGCAATACTTACCCTTACTGTATATTACATATATAGATAAGTGTAAGTAATTACCCTTTCCATATATTAGATATATAGGTGCGTAAGAGTAAAAACATAACGTTAACACTGCATTAGCTCAGCACTCTAAAGTATTAAAACATGAATTTAATTTTTGATAATGTCGGAGTTTACAGAAAGAGAAGAATTGTATTAACAGAAAGGTATTTGAAGCTGTGCATGGTGCACTGAAGTTGGATAATGCTGTTGATCATTCCTTCCTTTCAGTATGCATCAGTATGATATCATGATGTCATGGAGTGACGTGATCTTTTTCTGTCCTGATGATGTCTGAATTGGCGAAAAGTTAACGATTTTTGTTTTATTCTTTACTTGCATTTTGAAAACATAAAGCTGTGTGGTCAGAATTTTTCAATTATAACCTTACATAAAGTTTAACCTTAATTGTCTCGAAACTATTATTTATGGAATCGATTCACTTAATTTCTGAAGACCTCATACGTTCAAAAATTTGTATTACTAACCAATCTAACATTCTGCTAGCTGGAATATTTAACTGTTTCATATATCTTTGCTATTGCAGGAAGTCAGTTCATTTTATTAACAATAGGCTTCTTTTTTTTTTTTGCCTTTCATTAAAAAAATGAAATCTATTTTACATTTTCTTCAATTCAGGTTTTAGATGAAATTACTCAATAGATGATTAAGTATCACTTAAGATATTTAAAGTTACGCAAACAAAAAAAAAGAGAGCCAACAACAATTGATGAATTTATTTCATTAATAAATATTATTAATTTCAGAGTCTGCCCGATGAAATGCCAACTCAAGTATATGGTTTGCACCCTAATGCTGGTATTACCCGTGATATCATGAACATGGGAAAACTCCAGAATTCTCTCATTAAAGTTCTCCGTACAGGTTCCACAGGTAGCGGTGGAGCGGACGACATGGTTAGTACGATTGCTCGCGAGATATTGGAAAGGGTAAGTTCATTTTTATCATGTATCTATCTTATATATATATATATATATATATATATATATATATATATATATATATATATATATATATATATATATATATAATTTATCTTATACATATCTATCTTTTAGCTTTACTCTCTATATAGATAGAGATTAGATATAAATGAGATAAAATATTAGAGTGAGTGATATCAGTCCAGTGAATACAGTTGTCTTGTCGCATTTAATTAAAATATTTAATTGTTGAAAGTTTGACTGCATCCCGTGTTGTAATTTAATTGGATTTTGTTTATTTTTATTTGTGAAGAAGAAACATATATTTTGTCTATGCAAACACTGAAATAATGATTTGGGTTTTTTTAGTTTGGGAACTTTTAACTTTTCTTTCTTAACCAGTATCCCAACATTGTGTTCGTCTATTTCTCAATTCATTCACCATTATTTTTTTTAAACTTTAAGAACTTTTTATTGGTAAATAATACATTTTGTCACACTTAAGGGCACTAAATACTGAATATAGCTGAGTGAGTCTCATTGATACAATATATACAATACAAAATCCAAAATTTTAAAAAATATATCTATATAACAAGGCAAAAACTATTAAAAAGAAAAAAACAAATTTTCTTTTTTCTGGGAAGTTGTCTAATATTCTTAGTTATTTGGCAATAATTACTTCCAATTGGTAACAATTGAAAATATTTCTTATATTATCAACGTTACATGTTAACAAGTTGACGTTTCGGGATATTTACACCCATCTTCAGAACTACATTCCCAATAATCTTGTGGATGCAAGGCTTAAAAATAATAATAATGTGCTCCATCGTCAAATTACTAATTCATGTTATAAAATATATCATTTAGAGCAACATCTTGCTTTAGACCAATAATTGGGTCTGAATACAATTGTATTTCACTATGGCAATAATACAATTGTATTATTAATATACAATACAATTGTATTTCACTATGGCAGACACCCAATTATCTGTCTAAAGCAAGATGTTGCTCTAGATGATATATTTTATAACATGAATTAGAAATTTGACGATGGAGCACATTATTATTATTTTTAAGCCTTGCATCCACAAGATTATTGGGAATGGAGTTCTTAAGATGCGAGTAAATATCCCGAAACGTCAACTTGTTAACATGTAACGTTGATAATATAAGAAATATATTCAATTGTTACCAATTGGAAGTAATTATTGTTAAATAACTAAGAAAAAATAAAGGAAATGTAACTTGAAGATAAAATTAAATAAAATACAGACATTCGTAGAAAAAAAATAAATATATGTATATATAAATAATAAAAATAAATAGATAAATATAAAAAAAAAAATTAAAAAGGAAAACATTCATACTTAGTTACAATATTTATAATCATCCGGGGGAGCACCGAATCCAGCCCTTTCTCCCACGTGTGAAGGACAAGGCGAGATTAAGAGATCCCAGCGCTTCTCTCTCAGCAGCATCACTGGGATAATACAATTATTATAGCAGATTTTATTTTTAATAAAATAAATTGAAGCTGTAACTGTCACCAATTAATTTTATGCATTAATAAACTGTAAACTGAAATATTATCTTATTTCTTGCAATTTAATTATTTCTTAACAAGGTTAAACTGTTTTAATTAAACAATTCAATTGTTTCTGTAATAAGGTAATGTTTCGGTTGGCTAAATGTCATCAAATGAATTATATCTATTTGTCTTGTTTAAATATGTAATAATTTTACTTCTTTTTCAGTTACCTGAACGATTTGATGTTGCGAGCGCTATGGAAGCTTATCCCACGGTATATTCCGAATCGATGAACACAGTATTGGTACAAGAGATGGACAAGTTTAATAAGCTACTGGATTGCCTTAATAAGACACTAAACGGTCTATTAAAAGCAGTAAAGGGCGAAATTGTAATGACTGCTGATTTAGAAGCTGTAGCTAGCGCTTTATTGACTTCGAGAATTCCAGCTCAGTGGGCTAAAGTATCATACCCCAGTTTGAAACCCCTAGGGTCATATATTGTAGACTTTATAAAACGTTTGAACTTCCTGGAGGTAAATAAAATTGTTAAAATATGATTGCTATAGACTTTTTGTTAGAAAATAAAAACAATTTATTTGTATTACATTTAAATTTAAATTATTACTGCTTCATAAATATCGCATGATTGCGATGGTCTAGATCTTGTACTCTTTTCTGTTAACGAGTTAAATGAACGGCCTCCTGAACAATGCTCTCCATTGATACCGCATTGGGGAGAGGGTTGCCAAACTCAAGCTACCAGGGTTTAGGGGTTAATTTAACTGGATTAATTTAATATAAGGAGGTCCATTTAATTGGAAGAAAATAATATATATAAAATTCATAAACTTTGCTTAGAGTCAAAAAATTGAACCGGGTGAGAAAATGATTACTTGGTTTTAAGCATGTGTGTTTCGTGGAAATGTCCAAGTAGAAGGCCATATAAACATGGTTCGAAAACGGCACACGAGACGACCTCAGTTGTGTATAGGTAAAGAAAAAGCGAGGAGAAGCGACTGCACCACAAGGAGCAAGTGTGAGTTCAAAAGGAATCAGCTTGAGGAAAACGGGAGACAATGAAATCAGGTATTTTTACATGAAATTGAACCAAAATAGAAAATAAATCAAACCAAGAATAATATCACGTGGAAAAGAAGAATAGGTCCATATCTATTTTTAACTGGGTCTTACAAATATTTGGTTTTGCAGATGACTTATACCTAGCTCGAGTCCTTCAAGAATGCATATTTAAAGATGGTTTAATGAGTGCTACTGTTTCTTGTTCAAGGGTTAAACTGGGAGGTGATAATGTTAGATTCCATGGTCTCCTGTAAGGTTTATCCCATTTTTAATAAAGAGCTTGGCATCCCTCTTTATCAAGTATTTAGACTTAAACTTAGCAACTACTAAAAAATCCCTCCAAAAAAACCTTCATCCATATTGGTCCTAGGTTTAATAATCGCTAAGGAAGTACTTTTTCATGAACCACAGGTTTGTATGAGAAGACGATGTGATCAGTACAACATTTTTTACAGACAAAATTTTTCTTCATGGCTTAAATGATCTAATACCGTTTTATAGTTATAGTTTGGCCTCCATTAGGGTCTTCTAATCATGTAGTCTATCCAAAACTGATGTTAATAAAAAGAAATTATTTGTCCATACCCAAGAATCGTAGTTGTATTTGAATACTCCCATTCAAGAAGTTAGTTCTCTCATAGAATGCAAAGCAATATTCATAATGTCTTCATCACTTGTAATTTAATATTTTTAGGAATATATATATAATAATTCATCTGTTTTTATACTTCTCTCCATTTATTAGTTTTTTTAAATATATGATTTTTTTAAATATTATAAAATCAATCAATAATGATGACCTTAATCAATCATTATCAAAGAGGCTGAACTGGTAAATCCAATCAGCTCAAAACTATTTGAAGATCAAACTTCTCATTCTATCTTTTCCTTTTTTCTAATATATTTAAAACTTTGTTTAATTATTGACTTCTTCAGAAAGAAAAATAATGCTTTTCATTAAATCTTCAAAATTTTCTAGGGCATAATATTAATAGTAAAATTTATAGTGTCGTGTAAAACGTTTTATTTCACCATTATACATTTATTCCATGCTTTAATTCATTTAAATATCCCTACGACGTTTCGGGCAATTATTAATTATTATGACGTATCGGGCTCATTTTCAAGTTGAATATTCATGTGTCATTATTAAACAAGGTGTTTCAGAGTTAAGTGGCCAAACTGCAAAAACGAAATAATGACCTCAAAACAACAAAAAAAATTTCCTCTGAAGGTGTGTCCGCAAAAACATTGCTTAGGAGATATTCACACCTAAAGATTTTCGTTGTTATGAATTATTTGCGTTATATGAAATAAATAAAACATTTTTTCTAACTACTTTAATAATTAAATTTAAACGTTAACATTCATATTAAATGTTGTTCAAAGTGAAAGTATGTCCGCAAACGCTTTTTTTTAGGAGATGGATTGGATAGAACACTAATATGGCCTTTTATTCCTAACTGTATATAAACTATTGGCAACATAAGGATTAATACTATTTGGAATTAGTATTGGGAACTCTCAATAACATTTGTCAGTTTGTAAGAGACTTTCGCAGAGTACTCATCATTATGCCTTCCATTTATACTAATGATGAATATGCCGATATGTACATGCTCTCCAGACCTGACACCACTGGATTTTTTATTTTGGGTTGACATTGAACAAGAAGTCTATGCAAGTCCGATCAATGACCTTAATTACAAACGAAGAAGGATAACTGAATCTCGTGAAACAATAACACATGTCCAGTGCCGTTCTGCCACTGCTGCTGTTGAAAAAGATGCCGAGCCTGTCTTAATGCTCGATGAAATCACTTTGAACAACATTTAATGTAACGCAAATAATTCATAACAAAAAGATCTTTAGGTGTGAATATCTCCTAAACAAAGCTTTTGCGGACATACCTTCATAGGATTTTTTTTCTTGTTTTAAGGTTTTTAATTTATATTTTCAGTTTGGCCACTTAACCCTGAAACACCCAGTATAATCCATATAATCATACTTTTTTGTATAATTATTGTAACATTTATCTCCTCGAAATCCTTCAAATTAATTTTTTTATAAATTATTCATGAAAAGTCAATTCTAAAACAACTGTGGACAGTCAACAATTTTTTGTTTTTTAAATTTATTTTTTTAGAAATATAATAATCTGTCACGTGGACAATAATTACAGTGATATATGAACACATTCACACCATATATACAGAAAACATAAAATTAACAAAAGTGAACTAATGGCTAAATAATTATCAAAAACTATGTACAATAAAAAATAAAATAACCTAAAGATAAGTAAATTAAAAACATAAAAACACAGTCTAAATACTTATATAAAATCAGGGAGGGAACCCCAAGCCAGGCTTCTTCCTCCAACTATAGAAGGAAAAGGAGGACTCCAAGAGTTCCCCTGTACTACTTTCTCAACCACTCACTGGTGGTAAAGCCAGTGGAGTTTGAGCTAGAGCCCTTTAGCCACATATATTCATGTCTTAAGTGGAGAATCTGGCCATTGAGAGAACTCCAATATATATGCAACAAAAGATCTTTGGGACACTGCCACTTCAACCTTCGAGGAGGATTGTAGGGATGAGGGGAATTAGATAGGGATTGTGCATGGGGATTCGGACGATTTATAAGGTTCTGATGAAAATTTGGAAAAATTTTCAGGGATAAGGTCAAGTGGGATATTAAGGTAGGGTTTTGTTGGTTACATAGATCGGAGCACCGAATATTGTTCGGAGGACTTTGGATTTTTACTATTATACCAAAAATAATTGGTAAGCCCACAGCTCACAGTGGCTGTTGTATTTAAAGGTGACAAAAATTTGTATCATTTGAGTAAATTTGAAATAATATTTAATTTTTTGACTGTCTACATCTGATTAAAATTGACTTTTCATGAATAATTTATGTATTTTATAATTTGAAGGATTTTGAGGAGATATAGAATAGAAGAATTAACTTTATTCTGGGACAAAGTCCCTTAAGAATAACAATTTTGTAAATAAAAATTAACATTCCATCTGGCCAAAATACATATTACAATAAAAAAAATAACTAAAAACTAAGTGATAGACAGAAGTATTTACCTTATTACATTTACATTACAGAACGTGACTAGACATCTTTTCCATGCTCAAAAAAGAATATATATTTATATACAAATGATAAATAGAGAAAAATGCAATTTTGTTACATGATAAATGGCTACCCAGCGTCTGATTGAATTGTAAGGAGGAATTGGAATAGGAGGGTTTTAATATGGATAGGGATGTGCATGGGATTTTAAGTGGGATGGAATTCCAAAAGGTAGTAGAGCGGACAATAAAGGAATGTTGAAAGGAGGCAGATTTTTGGAAAGGGGTATAAAGGTCAGAAGGACGAGATCTTGTAGAGATGGAGTGGATAGATGACTTAAATTGAAGGAGATTGAATGCGTAGGACGGACGATGATTATGGATATTTGGTAAAGGAATGTACCTAGGAAATATTGTCTTCTGAAGGAGGGGAAGAGCCACCCTAACTCGGCGTAGTAGTGAGATACACGAGGACGTCTCGGGGTTACAATAATTATATGAAAAAGTATGATTATATAGTAATGATATATGAATATTCGACATGAAAATGGGCAAAATTGCCCTAAACGTCGTCGGGAAATTTAAATGAATTAAAGCATGAAATAAATGTATAAGGGTGAAATAAAACGTTTTCCTCGATATGAAAAATAATGTTAAATTTTAAGTTCAATCAGCTAACAATGTAGGAAGTATTTGAATGGAGTATCATTAGAATGAGGGGCTAATAAACTAGCTACACGTCTAATTTGTTCTAGAAAGTAATAAATGATTAATAAATATATCTTGTGACTCATTTAATTGTTTACAGACCTGGTTCCGAGAAGGAAAGCCTGAAAGCTTCTGGTTATCGGGATTCTTCTTTACTCAAGCATTTTTGACTGGCGCTATGCAAAACTTTGCCCGCAAATATAAAATTCCCATCGATAAGATAACCTTTGATTTTTCCATATTAAAAGACGTCGAGTACCAGGGTCCTCCACCTGATGATGGCGTCATAGTGTATGGTATTTACGTAGTAGGGGCGAGATGGGATAAGGAACGGTAAGTAAACACTGATATTTCACTTAATTTTAATGCATATTATATTTTGACAATGTATAAATTAATTGAAAAGAAGTTTACTTTGTATTATATGATATTGAGTACATATAAAGAACTATTGAAAACTGTACTGACTAACAATAACCAAGTTTGACATTTAAAAGAATATTTCACTCACTTCAGTTAGTATTAATTGGCATTTTTTGGGTATCATATCTAGAAAATATATTCGTCCTTAAAAAAAAAAAGGGGGATTCCAAACATGTTTTTTTGTTGATTATCGAATGTTATTTTTTTTTTAAATTATTATCACATTTTATTTATTATTTAAAACAACACTTTTATGATAATAAATGCCTAAGGTAAATGTTACTTATTTGCCAAAATATGTAATTAAACTGAACTTATCAGCTATGTCCAAATTAAACTTGTCTTCATTTTTTAAAAATTGTTTCGTTTATCTAAAACATCTGTTTTGAACAATCAATCAAGTTCTTGCCAATATAATTTTTGTCTCCTGTACTCTGATAACAAATTAAAATCATTAGTATTTATTAAATTTTAAAAAGACACTATGAAATTATTTTTTACGTTTTGGAAGACACAGATATATAAAACGTTTTACTTGAAAGATAAGACTAAATCAGTTAAGGCATGATCGCATGCGCAAGATTCTATTGTTATAGAAAAAATTATACTTCTAACCAATGTCTTAGAGGGTATATATATCACAGGGTATATTCATTTAAGTCACAATGAACTAATTTTTCTTGTGTTTCATATATATATATATATATATATATATATATATATATATGTACGTATGTATGTATGTATAAATGACTATTACAACCATTGAAGGTCATATGTCTTCGCCTAAGAAGACCTGCCACCATTTCTTTTTGTTATAGCAATCTTCCTATCACATTCCTCTTACTGCTATTACCTCATGTATACCTCCTCCTTTTCAATGGTACTTAAGTATTCTTTTGGACCATCCGTCGTCGACTATTCTCATAATGTTTCCACATCAACTCATCTTTTTTGACTCGATTGAGTAAAGCATATTAAGGTCTTCTTTCACTTTTTCTCTAATGGGGTTATATGGGACGTGTTTTTATTCTAATTTTTTTTTTTTTTTTTTTAGTTAATAACGGTTCTTTATGATCTGTAAACATAGACGTAGTAAACAACAAAAGTGCACTAATCCGACTTTGAATTTTTGAAATATTAAAAACGGGCATTTCATGTAGATAGATAGATAGATAGTTTATTTTATTTGTCTAAGGAAATTCCTGTACAAATAAATATAATGGTATATTTAACAATGTTAGATCTTGAGTCTAGTACTGCATTCAAACATAACATTAACAATGTCCACAGCATTAAGTATGACTAATATAATAACAGATTAGTAAACGATATATATATATATATATATATATATATATATATATATATATATATATATATATATATATATATATATATATATATATACATAACAATTAGTAAAACTTTTTTTTTTTTTAATATTCGAGAGGTATAAGACAAATGACAATATAAATAAGAATTAATATATGTTATATGATTAACTTTACCACTTAACAGTTCAATGAACAGCCCTGTATGAAATGATACAGTTGGTTTATTGTTTTCGTAGTGTCTATTTTCAGTATCTCCTCCACACTAGCATCTTCTCTGGATTCAGTGATAAATGCCTCCAAGTACTTATTTCTCGGCTCGTTGAACTTGATACATTGGATCAGAAAATGAGTTACCGGGTCAGTTACAAGGCAGTTGCATGCACCACACACCTCACTGGATTTAATAGTCAAAGTAGCATCTTTTAAGTATATTTTCATAAAATCTTTATTTGCTACTCTGAGACGACTAACGGCTCTTAATTTGTTTAAATTCAGAGCCCTGAACTGAAGATAATCCTCTGGTCTGGTAACATTAAAGGAGCAGATTTTCTATATCTTGGGTTTGATTTAGAGTTTAACACTCTGTCGATGTCCTTGGATGCGGGATGGTTTCTTTTTTTTTTCCATGATTTCATCTTTGAAACTCATCAGACCTTGAGAGAAAACACAAGAAAACAGCCCCTGACATCCAAGTTCCGCCACAATCATCTTTACTTGGGTAACCCAGTTATAAGTTGGATCAGGTTTTCCAATGGATGAGTCTAGAGCTCTAAGCCTATTAAAGCATTGTCTAGGTAGTCTTTCGTCACTCATTAAGCTTAGCTTTGTCCAATAGTTGATCACTTTTTTTAACACTTCAACATTTAATGGAGATCTCCCACTTTCAAGGCGAGCCGCATAGTTCGGTGTATTTCTTGGCCAATGGAGCAATGATTTGATAAATCGATCTTGCGTCTTCTCCAAAACCTCCAGGTATCTCGTCCCCCAGATCTCTGCAGCATAGAGCAGTGTTGACGAGCCCATCGAGTCAAAGAGGCTGGTTTTTGTCTCCCAAGAGTCGCTTTTTCTATTTCTTCGGATTGCCATCACTTTGGTCGCTGCAACAGATGATCTATGTAAGAAATGCTCAGCGGCTCTCTCAAATTTTCCAGAAGAAGAAAAGGGTACACCCAGATATGTGTAGTTTCTGGTATACTCCAAACTTGTGTCTCGCCAAGCTAAAGTCTTAAGTTTCTTCATCCTTGGAGATTTATGGAACACCAACACCTTAGACTTAGATGGATTTAGGGTCAAAGATTTGCTTTTACAGTATTCGCTCAGTATATTGATGTTTCTTTGTGCACCATGCCATGAATTACTGAGGAGCACAATATCATCCGCTAACAGAAGCATAACTACTTCATGGTTGTGGTCTATACTAATACCAACAGCTCCTCGGTCACGGAAGTACTCAACTATATCCGACACAAACAGGATAAACAATGCAGGACTAAGACTGTCCCCCTGAAGCAGGCCCAGACTGATACCAATCTCTTCTGACAGCTCGTGTTTTAACTTTATCCGCATCGATGAAGCATCATATAGTTTCTTGAGAAGCCTAATTAGTTTCCCCCCCCCATTTCAAGAGAAAAGAGCCTTTCCCACAACAAATTTTGGTGGATGGAGTCGAAGGCCTTCCTAAGGTCGACAAACACTGCGTAAACATAGCTGCCCTTTGACCTGAAATTAATGTTGATAACTGACATCAATGTGAATATGTGATCAATGCATCCCCTGTCCGTTCTAAAACCAGTCTGTTCCTCCAGTATTAATTTTTCTAATTCAGCCCATTTCATAATTCTGTTCCTTAGAATGCTAGTGAATAACTTTGCTAGAGTATTAAGTAAGGATATGCCTCTGTAGTTGTTCGGATCCTTTTTATCACCTTTCTTATACAGAAGACGCAAGTTAGATTCTGCCCACATTCCTGGAATTTGTTCAGAATTCAATACGTTATTAAATAAATTTAATATGTAGTGCTCCCAAGAGGGGTTGAGACATTTAACAACTTCATAAGTTATATTATCAGGTCCTGGAGATTTATGTTTTTTACAGGTACCTATGCTTTGTTGCAGTTCTTCCAATGATATATTGATATCCAAGAGTCGATGAGTTACGGAGAAAAAGTATGTTTCATGTATCGTTTTTTGGCCATATAGATTTGTGTAATATTGAAACCAATCGTTTAGACTTATTTCGTTATTTTGATTGTGAAATGGTCTCAACATATTCACCGTCTTCCAAAATTCTCCACTGTTTTTTACAGTTCTCAAATTTGTAATTACTGATGCTCTAAACTCCATTTTTTTCCTTTTTATTAGTTTTCTATATTCATCTCGGGCTTGAAGGTAGTCTCTGATAAATCCTGTCAATAAACTGTTCTTTTGCATTATTCTTTGCAACTTCTTGAGATTTCGTTTACATCTCCTGCATTCCTGATCAAACCATTTGTGCTTAGGTTGCGAAGTGGTATTCGCGATCATCTTCCTCGTTAATATCAAAGCTGACCCCAACAAGTTTTCCTGCATTGCCTGTTTAAAGTTATCATACAGCTGGTTCACATCTTCAGAATAGAAATAAAATTTTTCAGAGTTGGAAATATTTTCACAAAATAAATTAATTTTGTCTTCATCCCACGGTGAGTAGTTGGTAACTAAGTATTCTATTGGCGAAGCTATTCTGTTCATAGGAGGATTTTGTGCTCTAATGGTCTTCAAGGAGGTAATACAAGCCATATGATCCAAAAGCCCTGATATGCTAACGACTTCCATATCTATAAATCTGTCCAGACAACTTTCATTTATACATACCAGATCGATCACCGATCTCCCCTTGGTTGTAACGAAAGTATATTTTCCTGGTCTATCCGAAACACTACGGTCATTGCATATTATCATCCCCAAGGACTCCAGAGTTTCTACCAGAATTTTTCCTCGCCGGTTCACATGTTTGTGATATGATGATCTTTTTTTGTAAAGTCGTGAGCCCAACAAAAATTCTTTCTCTAAGTCATATAAACTTCCCACGTGTCCATTAAAATCACCGGTTAGGATAATTCGGCTATGTGGATAGTTAGACATTATGCGAGTCATGACATTATGAAGCTCATCCATGCTAGAAACAATATCATTATTTGGAGGGAGATAGATATTTCCCAATGTTAAAAACGTGTTATTTAATTTTATATTCAAAAAAATCCAAAAGCGGTTGATTTCCAAGACGGTAACTTCGTGAGCTATGCTGTTATGAATCATTATTGCCAATCCCCCACTTCCTCTGCCAGTTATATGTGTTTTTACGGCATAAGAATAGTAAGAAACGTAATCAGTGAGCCAGGACGGTACAACAAATTCATTAAGTATCCAGGTCTCTACCAAACAGATAATTTTATTTTCTTTGATTATATTTGATTCTATACTTGGATTTACCAAATTTTTGTAGCCATTGATGTTACAGAACAATATTTTTAATAATTCTTCGTATAAATGGTTTACAGTTAAATTCGCCGGCCTTTCAGCTTTAACATTTATTATTATTTTAGATGACAACGAATTATCATAAGCCATTGGTCAAGTGGAGGTGTGATCCTTCGATGAGCTTCTGAACTTGTACTCACCCAATTTTTCCGCTATTTTTTTTCTTTTTGTTGCTTGAGAGGGTTCCAACTCTTACTGGTCATCATTGAAGTTCTCTAACAGTGATTCTACTTCATTGAGTGCGTATAAAGTCCCTCTTATTTTAAAAAGACCTTTTTTGTAGGACGCGTGAGGATCAATAACCTTTAATTTGTTTATGTAACTGAAAATCTTTTTGTCCTGTTCTCTTTCTTCGGGGGTTTTGTCATGGCTCACATAATTTTTTTTTTATTTTAGAGCATCTCTATTTTTAAATATTTCATATTTTATGGAGTTGTTATTTAATGACAATAATATGGAGCCATTTCCTATTCTGAAGCAGTTATTTACGGCATATTCTGGTAGTGCAATATTGACAGTTTTTAAGGAATCATTTACTTTATCTAACACATCCTCGTTTTCCGTCATTGGTATGTTATGTATAACGAGATTATTCCGCCTTAATTGTCTTTTTAGATATATAATTTCTCATTCTAATCGAGTATTTTTTTCCTCTAAGCGGATACAATGTTTTTTTAATGTATCTAACTCCTCAATTACCTCGGCCATTAGTTTATTATTCTTTTCCAGATTTGTATTTATTTCTTTAACAGCCTGCATAATCTCGTCATTAGTACAAACCATTTTTAAGGATATATTTCACGGAGTTGGGCGATATTAATTAAAATGTTAATAGTTTTAACGGGAAGTATTCAAATAAATATTTTTTTTAAATTTTAATTGAACACGCAAATGTAGTGTTCTTCTAATTAGCGCAACTTCGACTAAGGGCCAGTGAGGTACTGAAGTTCAAGGCCCGGATAGATAAGAAAAGGGCGGAGCTTCCCCCACCCAGACAATCCTGTTACAGACATGCCTATTCTGCCCACTAAAATGTAAAATAATTTTTACCTTATATGGTACTATCGGCTCGTGTGATACTCAGTAAATTTTAACAGTTTGTTCTTTAATAGTAGTTGATCACTATTGCACAGATTCATTCACCAAAATCAGCTACAGCACTTTTTTTAAAACTGTATAGCACGGAGACGATGTGAACACAACCACTACAGTGACTAGACTCGTTTTTATTCTAAAATTACCTCTACCAAAATCCATTTCCATTGATAACAGTGTTCTTTCCGATGCCATTGAAAGAGTACAGGTTTCTGAGATAAGGCAGAGCTTTGAACAAATGAATGGAAGAGTCTCTTTCTTGTGTGGAGCATGACGTCGTGATTCCATAGAACAGAATTTAAAGTTCGTGTGGCTTTTTAACCTCTGATCACCTTTTCATCAATGTCTTTTTTGTTGATGCTTCTCTTCGAAACACATCTTCCTAAATATTTAAATTTCTCCATTGGGGATCAAGTCCTATCCTCCAACATTTAGTGAGGAATTTCCACTATTTTAAATGACATCGACCTCACTTTTTGTTTTACTGATTTCTAGACTTCCTTCCCGGTAGGTTCCCAACAGCTTTATCATCATAAATGATGCATCTTCTTCATCATTTGCACTGATGATTTGGCCATTGGCAAATTGTAAATTGTAAATTCATCATCTCAGATTATCCCCATACCGTTACAATTTATTTTCCATATGGATATTATTAAACAGTAGAGAGCGGAGTGAGCAGCCTTACTAAGGCCTTTTATGACTCAAATTTTCTTTGTTAGGCCATATTTGAGTTCGACTCTTGTTGTTGCATGTGAATATAATCCTTATATAGCTTGGATCATTTACTGCCTTACTTTTTCGATTTCTAAGGCACTCTGCTGTTTATTATGTAATTTACTGGAAATAAGTGAAATAAAACGGGAGTATAGGGCATTCAATAATAGTGAAAATCCCTCATTAAATTATATGTTTTTTTGTGAATCAAAAAATATTAAATGTACCTCCTTATTTTCAGCTTTAAATTATTCCTGTTAATAAGTTGCGTAAGAGTAAATATATATAATCTATGCTTGGCCTACTTACTTATGAATCTGGGCTGTTCTTTTGTGTACATTCTAAGTCTGTGTGGATCTTTTGGAGAAAGCAGGCGTTCTAGGCTTAAATTTCGAATACCTCTAACATCCTAACACATTACTAAAACATTTCGCCTTAAGTAAGATTATATAGCCAATTAAAGACTTTAATTATCATGTTGGTTAGAACAAAGTGTACTTTTGGATATCTTTATTTTTATAGAATCCATTAAAGATTCTCACGTTCATTTCTTCACAAAGGTATATTAGTCTACAACCGTTATCTTTTTTTTATTTTTCCCTATATTTTCCGACTTTCCTGCCATTTTTGCAATTGCATTTAAATCTCCTATCCAAGGAGTATTTTCCTGTCGGTAACATAATCAAACTCTTAAACACTCGAAGAATAAAATTCTTTGTCCGCAGCAGAAGCATCATTATTATGAACCTAACGATAACTATGATAGCAACTGGACGCCCATGATTTTTTTATTTGCCCATAGATTTTCACTTCCATATTAACTTTACTTTCTCGCTCAGATATTCCATTGGACAAACTAAACAAAATCTAAAAAAAAAAAAATGCACCAACACAAAAGTAATTGTAATTATAATTTTTTAAAATTTATTTATTCATAAGATTTACAACTATATAAATTAAAAATACATCCACTAAATGTGCACAAGGTAATAATACAATCATATGAAAACGCTTGTTGAGAAACTACCCATTGGAAGGACTCTAATAATATATGGAGTTGGTCCATATAGAAAAACATCGAAAGTTTGTTTATCCGATAAGATTTGCGATTTCTTGGCCAAATGAAAAAAAATTATCAATTTTAAAAACAAATATAGGTGGCGGCTCGGAGTCAGACATACCTTGAGGCTTCGAAGTCTTGTTTGATGTGTTGGTAGCAGAAGAGGAATTCTTGCTGGCTGTGATATTTGGTACAGATGGCTCTGGGTTTATGACATTTGATTTACTTCTAGTTTGAGGTGAAGATTTAGTTTCGGCTGATTGTTTTGATTTAGTCGATTTATTTTGCCCATTTGACTGTTTGGGTTTCGTCAATTTGTTTATCTTCTTATTAGGTGAATTGCCCTCCGACCCACGTAAAGAGTTTTGTAGAGTACGCCTTTTCAAGTATTGCGAATAGGTCTCGTTAATTTCAGAAAAGGGCGTCTTATCTTCTGATTCTTCGCTTGATGAGTTCTTATCAACATTCTTGTCGTCCATATTTATGATAAGAGGGGAAAAAAGAGATATAAAAAAAAAAAAAACCTAACTAAGACCTAATTAGTAAGATGCGAATTTAAGAAATGAATTCTTAAATTAATAGTCTATATGCAGCTATAAAATAAAACATTTCTATAAATAAAATCAAGGAAAAATAAAACAGTCTCTAGGAAAAAAAAAAAATATATATGCATATGCCTTTGGGTTCGAACTGGGGACCAGCCGCGGAAGTATGTTCATAAATAGAGCCTTGATAGTGAATTAACGCAAGTAAGATGATTACCTGATACTTCCACTATCCAATTGAGCACCAATTTATAACACTTTCATTGTTAATAAATAGTAGCTCACCTGTGTATCCGTAAGCATAAAAATGCTCAATTGTTTATAAAGTAACTGTTGATTAAATCGTACACCAGCACTTTACATATTATTCACACAACAAAGTAACAAACACTGAGCGGCATGAAAGCTTGACTGCAGTTGCGGCCATGACTAATTCTAAAATTTAAAAATATAAAAAGAGCACCAGTGTCAACACACAACTAATATTTTAAGTGAAATTTTGACTTGAATACCACTAAGTGAATTAAATCTACTTTTATAAGGCATTTTATTTATTTATTTACGTTTTTTTTTTTTACATTTTTGCATATATCAATATATTGTTACCTTTTTTTTTAATGTTAAATGGCATAATTGTCATCTTGACTGGATCAAAAACAGAAAATAAAACAACCGTTCAACGAATTTTTTGAAATAACTCAATTTGACCATATCTTAAATTATTTATTGTTTTAAAAAGTATATTAATTCATTGATGTTAATGTTAATGTATTAATTTCATAGCCATGGTTTTATTTAACTGCCATTTTCTGTTTTAGTCATTGCTTGTCGGAGCCTCATTTCAAAATGTTATCGGACGAACTGCCAAGAATTTGGATTATGCCCATAGTACGAGAGAAGTTAGACGAGGCGAATAGGTATGTTTGTCCGCTGTACAAGACAAGTGAAAGAAAAGGAACTCTCTCGACAACTGGCCATTCAACAAACTACGTTCTCCCTATACTTCTAGAGACCGAAGAGGAACCAAAACACTGGATCAAGCGTGGGGTAGCTTCACTGTGCCAATTAGATGATTGATTAGTTATATAGTAAAGTATTTCGAAAATAAAAAAAATAAAGATGATTTCTGTTTAAAATAAATTGTGGTTTATTTTTAAATAAGATAGAAGCTAATATCTTATTAGCACAAAGCTGCTAATGAGATATTAGTTATCTATACTGAAATAGAATTCAATCATACGGTATTTGTAAACTTACTAACTTCGTGTTGCTACCGATTTCTATATAACACTCCTGAATTGTATATAAAAATTATTAGCAATGTTATCAATCAGAGCCTAATTCCGTTTGCAAAAAACGAGTTAGACTATACTAATATAGATATATGAGAAAAATATTAACTACTAACTAAATCTTTGCTTTGAGGTTCTGGATTAAAAGAACAAAGGAATATTACCTCACATCAACGGTTCATAGATACTAACAGTGCACATTACAGTCATTAAAAAGAGATTGTACCTTTTTTTTTTTTTACTTTACAAATCATTCACCACATTAACCAGCCTTCTTCTTTTCTGGGTTTTAGGCTTCTGCATGGTCTCCTGCCTATTACTGAGATATTCATTGTTGTGTAGATGGATTTCTCCAAGCTACATGTCCCACCTATCTTCCCACTTCTTTGCCTTCATATCATGAAATATTCATTGACCAGTTTCTGTAAGTAGTTCTTTATTCGACCTTCTCCTCTAATCCCAGATTTTGTTTTTATTTTATACAAGGCTTTAACTCGACGCCATTAGCCACTAATCACTCTGCTTATCATACAGGGCATTTTACTTTTAAATCTTTCAATACTTTGTTCTTGTCAGCTGTATGTATTTGTCAGGTCTTGTAGCTGTATATTAGAACTGGCTTTATCATAACATTATTCACCATTAATTTGAGATTTCTAGAGATTTTTTAGGATTTCAATACCTTTGAATAAGAAAAGATAGTTATTGTTGTGATTTTTATACGCCGGTCTGATTGCTATTTGAATTTGTATACTCTCAAGAACGATTTCTCTTCCATCCAGATACTGTTGTTGCGGTGGAATTTTTGATTTCCGATCATATATTTGGTGACTAATTCGCACTGTTTATTCTGTCAGAGACTTAAAAAGTCACTCAATGTTTTCTTGACTGCTTCTAAGGAGAGCAATATCATCTGTATGTTCAAGAAATTTATGATCCATTCCAAGATGCACCTTTCCATTTTCACATGATGTTCGTATCACCTTATCATCTCCAGGGCTAAGTTGAACAGCATCGATGAGATTCCCTCTCCCTGCCACAAACCAGTTAGAAATTTGAATGCTTCAGATACTTTTCCTTGTATTGAGACTCAATATTTAGGATCATTTACATACTCCTTCGTCACAATACATATATATATATTCCGGTTGGCTCTACAGACCTTGTAGATCTTTGGCCGCCTGAACCAGCCTTCTCCACCACTGCCTACCTTGGGCTACTACTTTCCAATTTGCGGTATGAAGCTCAGCCGTGTCTTTGTTTATCCTATCTAATAATCTAGCTTTTGGCATCCCACGTGGTCCCTTGCCTACTACTCTGGCATTCATTGTTGTGTAAAAGCGTCCTGATGGAATGCTACGAGCTACGTGCACCGCCCATCTTAACCTCCTCGCCTTCATGTCATGAGATATGACTGACCCATTTTTTTTTTCAGCAGTTCTTTATTATTCATTCTCCTTCATGTGTCAAGGTTCTGGTCCCATATAGGTCCTGTGATCCTACGTAGAACTTTTCTTTCGAATCCCTCAATTCTGGCTTCTAACGTATACCCAGGTTTCACAACCGTACAGACGCACTAGCTTAATCACGGCGGTGTACACCCTTATTTTTAGATTGTTGGATATTTTTCTGGATTTCAGTACCCTTGAAAGATCTGTTCGCACTTGTTATTCGCTGGCCTTTTTTAATTATAATAATAATATTTTATTGAGAATAAAAAAATACATTTTGCCACAATTAAGGGCATTGGGTATTTAGGATGTATAGAACACAAACATACCATATATACAAGAAAAGAAAAACAAGATTATAACAAAATAAAAGAAAAGAGAACTTGGAATAACAGAGTAAATCAACCATGATACAACATTAAATAAAAAATAAATAAATAAATAAAAACACATTCATACTTATTTGCAATATTTACAGTCAGCCGAGGGAGCTCCGAGTCGGACCCTTTCCCCCACGTGTGGAGGATAAGGCAAGACTCCAAGAGATCCCAGCCCTTCTTTCTTAGCCGCATCACTAGGATGGGAATCCAGTGGAGACTAAGAGAGGGCACTAAAGTCATATACGCTCATGACTTGAGTGGAGAAGTTGGCAATTTCCAGGACTCCAGTGACGTATTTACAAAAGATCTCGAGGCCACTACCGCTTCAACCTTCGAGGAGGATGGATTAGGTTCTGATGAAAATTGGAAAATCGGGATGGAATAACGTCAAGGACATAAGGGATGTTAAGGTCATGATGTAAGGTTTTGTTCGTAACATAATAAGGAGCATTGACTATTATACGGAGGGCTTTAGACTGGATGGATTGGATGCGTTTGATGTTCAAAAATTTAGTTGTCCCCCACAGTTCAAGTCCATAGATCCAGATGGGTTTCAGTATAGTCTTGTATATTAATAATTTGTTTTTAATTGAGATGTTAGATTTTCTGTTAAGTAGTCTGTATAACTGGCCAAATCGTCGGTTGAGTTCTTGTCTTTTTTAAGTCTGGTATGTGGTTCCATGTTAGTCTTTTGTCTAAAAGGAATCCTAGATACCGAACTGTGTCTGAGATGGGAAGAGGTACTGAGTTGAAAAATATAAGTGGACAGGATCTGCGTTGGAGGGTAAAGGTGACATGCTTGCATTTGGATTCATTGATCTTGATGCGCCAATTGTTGCACCATTGCTATATTAGGGAGATGTGTCTTTGTAGGTTTAGGGATGCTGTTTCAGGGTCTGGTTGGGATGATAGAATGGCGGTATCGTCAACAAATGTTGTTAGAAGGGTATTAGGATGGGTTGGGATGTCAGCTGTAAAAAGAATGTAGATAACTGGACTCAAGACACTGCATTGTGGAACACATGCCTCAACTGCATAATAATTGGAGAATTCGGACAGTGACTTGAAAGGAACGATTTGAAAGGTAGAATCTGAGGACTAGGTACAAGGATTGGGGTAAGTGGGTTTTAAGCTTGAAAAGCAAGCTATCGTGTCACAACCAGTCGAAAGCTTGCGCAACGTCCAGAAGGGCACTAGTGAAATATTGCTTGTTTTCAAGTGCAGAGGATATATGGTTAACAACGCGGAGGACTTGTTGAACAGTGGAATGTCTTGAGCGGATGGGAGGGGATATTGTGGGATATTGTGGGGAGAATGGGTAGGATACGTTTGAGAAGGATTTTTTCAAAGATTTTTGAGAGGATCTGAAGTAAGCTTATTGGTCTATAGGATGAGGTATTATTAACAGATTTACCTGGTTTAGAGAAGAGGATAATAATGGAGTGTTTCCATATCAGAGGAAAGTGAGTTGTGCGGAGAATACAGTTATATAGTATGTGAGAAATATGATTGCTTTTTTGGGAAGTTGTCTAAGGATCTGGAAAGTAAGGAAATCGTGTCCAGGGGATTTTCGAGGTTTCAAGTTGTTTATAAGGAATTTGATCTCAGAAGGGTTGACAGCTTTAGGAGACAAGGAGAGAGGAATCGGAGAAGAGAGGAGTTCTTTAACTTCAGAAGTGTGAGTGGGATGGAGTTCGGTGTGGGTAGTGAATGTGTTGGATAGGTGTTTGGCAAATTCTTCAGCTCTAGTCTAATCTGACGAAACCCCTAGCCTAATCCCACGAAGCCCAGGTTCCATCATCTCGTCAGAGTGGGTGGGAAATAGATTGGTATTTATGTATTTTTTTCGTCACTTTCCAGAGGTAGGAATTGTAGGATTGGGATCTAAAAGTAGCCAGTTCTTCTTTAATCTGTTTGGAACAGTAATTGTATAATTTCCGATCATCAGGATGCCTGGTTCTTTGCCAGAGAGCCCTGGATTGGCGTATAGATTTATTAAGGTCGGTAAAGTTTTGGGGCAAAGGATTCTTTTTAAGGGATTTTTTGGTGGGAAGTGGTGAGGATGCAGTCTCGACTGCTTGTTGGATCAAGGTGGTGAAGGAACGCACTGCGTTATCTAGGTCTTGAGAGTTTTTTGGGGATATTCTGAGGTCTATTGCATCTGTTATTGTTTGGCGGAAAAGGTTCCAGTTAATTGGGCCTCTGATGAATGAGGGAGGAGATAATTTGGGGATAGGAGATGCAGAAAGGGTTAGGTTTAGCTTAATATGCTCTAAGGAAAGGTCATCGAGCCGTGAAATTGAGAAATTTAGCGGCCCTAGGCCTTTGTGAATGAAGAAGTCAAGGAGGTCATGATTACCGTTAGGATCTGTTGGCCAGTATGTAGGAGTATCAGGAGAAAGAATATTGTTATTATGTGAATTAAGAGCAGGCAGCAATATTCGCCCGCGGGAATGCGTGGTTCTGACTCTCCATTGCTAATATTTTGCATTAAGATCTGCACCTATAAGTAAATGGTGTCCCAAGGAATTGAGAAAAGAAATGAAGTTAGGTTCAGGTATTGCTATTTTAGGTGGCGAGTATGCTGCGACAACTGTAACATGGAAAAGTGAGGTTTGGATTGTTATTGCTGAGATTCGTAGGAAATTATGAGCTGGTAAAGGATAAAAGTGGTGGGAGAGGGATTGGTGGATGATGACAGCAGTTCCTGCATGTGATGTTCCATCAGTATGGGCTGTTCGATAAATCTTGTAACCAGGTATGTTAAACTGTCGTTTGTTAGTTAGTCTGGTCTCAGTTTTCAGGGATATTTCAATGTTATTGTTCTGTAGAAAAAAAGTTAGTTCGTTGATGTGATTTCGAACACCATTCGCATTCAAGAGGAGAATGGAGAGGAATTTTGATGAGGACATTTAAGGAATTCTTGGCGGTGGGGTAAGATTAGCAATGATATTTGTAAGTAGAGAGAAGCGGGGTGAAGAGAGATTTGATCTCGGAGAGAAATGATGTAAAGAGACAGGTAAAGTCATTGGAATTGTTAGGGGTACGAATGTCAGAAAATTGGTGATGACTGGACTTTTTGGTATTCTTATGTTGGGGTGGTGGATCAAGAGGTTGTAGTTGAGTTTGCGGCAGGGCCTGAGGTTGAGTTTTATCTCTCCTAGCATTTCGGCATAGGGCACGTCATTGTTCACACATCTTGAGGGTATCTTGGTGGTCTGGGAGTCCTGGATATCTTTTCATGTCTGAGTGCTGCCTGTGTTCTTGATTTCAAGATTTTATAAGTTTGGCATCCCTTGTAATTTGCTGGGTGGTTGAGATGGCACAGTGCGCACACTGCAGGAGCTTGCGTAGGCTTGGTGCAGTCCTCAGACCTGTGTTACTGTCCGCACTTCACACTTCGAGGTAAGCGATAGCAGTAGCTTCTTGTATGGCCATAAGATTGACAATTATGACATTGTACTATTTCCCTTTTGATGTATGATTCTTCAACCACTATACTGGTGTAATAAAAACTATTAAGATTATAAATATTTTTGACCCCTGGAGAGCGCTCCAAGTCCACAAAAAATAGTGGTATTGCTACATTGTTGATTTTCATCGGTTGTTCTTTATTTCCTTCATAAATATTAACGATTTGACGGACATTGAAACCTAGAGCCGTCAATTCTTCTTTGATTTCATCAGGTGGAGTTGAAAGGTGGATACCTCTTATCACTACTCTCAGTGCTCTCTCTTCATATAACTGGTAGGTGTAAAATTCAGCCTTCTGTTAAGTATTTAATAATTTTTCTATATGTATCAGGAAAATCCGGCATTAGTTTGGTGTCATTGGTTCTACTGTGGCATACGTATTTACCGTTGTCAATTATTTTATTGAAATGCTGACAGAATAAAGGAAAATTTTTAATATGGATTGGTGGTGAAAAACGGAGATTGGTGGATTCCACCTAATCCACCTAAATCTTTTGTTATTTACTGTTCGATAAAATTTATAAATAAGCGATTACTTACAGTATTGTGTTCATTTGATGAACAAATTGTTAATTATTCAATATCACTGTTTCTAAACACTATAGTTCACTAAATCACTAGTAATTTAATAACTTGTGAGAGACGAAGTAACAGGTGGTTTGTAAGAATGCGCAAGTCTGATTCGCTGATCTATCTCTGTTAGTTGATCATTTGTTGAGGTTATTGTGGAGCCGAGGTTATTGAATCTGTCTACTTTCGGAAATGACTTAGAGTCCACGCAGATAATGTTATTAGGATGGATGTTTCAGCTAACTATCATGTATTTTGTTTTATCTACATTGACTTGTAGTCCGATTTGTTCGGCTTCTATCAACAGATTCCGAGCGAAACTCTCAATATCCTCTTGATTACTTCCGAGGACAGCTATATCATCCGCATATGCTAGGATTTTATGTTTCATTCCAACGTGCACCCCTCCATCTTCGCTTGATGTTGCTCTTATTACTATCTCCAGTGCTAAGTTAAACAGCATCGGCGAGAGTCCATCTCCCTGCCTCAAACCCGTTCGAACTTCAAAGGCTTTAGATACTTCTCCTTGTATTAGTTCCCTACAGTTAGGATCATTTGTACACGCCTTCGTTAACCTCACTAACTTCCCGGGAACACCCAGCTCAGCCATGATCTTCCAGAGACAGTTTCTGTCCACGGAGTCATAGGCTGCTTTGAAGTCGACAAATAATGCGTGTACGTACTGATCTACTTCCCATCGTTTTTCGAGTACTTATTTTAGGATGAATATCTGATCCAGCGTACTCCTTCCCCTCCTAAATCCTGTTTGATGCTTAGGATCCTTCCTAAGGATGCTTCCATATGCTTAGGATCTTTTCTTTCGATGCTGCCAATTTCCCATCTTTCCTTCGTATTTGTGTATTTCTCGCTTTATATCCTTCCCTTTCTTTCCTGATTTCCTGCGAAGAATTCGCATATATTTCCAGCCTGCCACTTTCCTCAATAGTTTGTAATCTTTCTTTGAAGAATTCTCTTTTGGCTGTTCTTATTATTTTGTTTGTCTTTTTCCTAGCGGCTGTGTATTTGTCCAGCATAGCTTCATCAGTTTGTAAGCAGATGACTTTTCTTCTTTCCTCCACTGCCTTTTCGCATGCTTCTGTGAACCATTTCTTGGCTTTTCTTTTTTCCTGAATCCCTATTACTTCCTTAGCTGTTTGTTCAACCCTGACTCTAGTGCCTCCCAGTGTTGGTCAGCCGTGAGGCCTTCCGAGTTCAAGGGTTCGAATTTATTTTTCAGCTCAATTTGAAATTCAGCTTGTACTACAGGGTTTTTCAAATTCCGGACTTCGTACTTCTTTCTTTTCAGTTGGTCCCTAATTCGGTGGGTTCGCTTCAGCCTCTGACAGAATTTGATTCTAATCAGATAATGGTAAGAATTACAATCTGCTCCACGATAACTCCTTATGTCTTGTATGGAGCTTTAATGCCTCTTGTCTATCAGCACATGATCGATTTGTCTTTTTGCTCCTTTAGGGACTTACCCAGGTATACTTATGTATGTCCTTGTGTAGGAACATCGTACTGCTTACTGCTAGACCTTTAGCTGCTGCCAGATTAATACATCTCACTCCATTGTCATTGGTATTTTCGTGGAAACCTTGACCTCCGATGGTGGGCTTAAATTGGGTTTCTCTACCTGTTTTGGCATTGAAGTCTCCCATGACTAATTTTATGTCATATTTTGGAGCTTGGTCCACAACTTATTCTAACTGATCGTAGAAATCGTCCTTCACCTCATCCTCTTTTTCTGCGGTCGGTGCATACATGTCAATAATCGTGATATTAAACCAACGACATCTTACGCGCAGCCCACTTATCCTTTCATTAACTGGGGTGAAGTTTATTACTGACTTCCTTGTGGCCGGATTAACTACAAATCCAGTGCCAGCTGCCTCATTTTTGTCGTTTCTCCCGATGTAGGACAGTGTGTAGCCATTAACTTTGACATTAACTTGATTATGTTTAATTTGGAGTGAAACAGTTTACTATACCTCTTTAATTAAAGAAACTGTTTAACTTTAAAGAAAATTAAAAACTGAAATTAAAAAATGTCTACTAAAAAAACCCAACACTAATGAAATGTGACCAATATTAGGTTTTTTGTAAATTTGAAACACGAGACTCAATAACGGTTTTGTGTTGCTCAATAAAAGTATCAAGTTTGGTTTATTATTCCATATTATTCCACCATTCCTTAACATGGTCATGGTTCCAGAAATTCACAATAATTAGAAGAAATATTGCAATATAGTGTAATAACTAAAAGTGAACCTAAGGAAGAATTTCGTTGTGTGGGAATTCCAACTTAAAAGTATCCTGCGGGGTAATGATGTGCTGGAGACAATTGAAGATGAGAAATTTAAATAATTAAAAGAAAAGCAACAGCTAGAAGCCAAAGCTCAAGCATTAATTATTGGTATTATCACCGATAGCTATTTAGAGTATTTAAAAGAAAAAGGATCAACTTCTAGTAAGATGAAGAATCTTGAAGGCAACTTTAAGAAGAAGGTAAAGTACTCAATTTTAAGAAAAGAATTGAGTGAAGTGGAGTATGATTGTGTTGGGCAACAGTCAACTAAGTGAAAAAGATACAATCAAATATATATTGCTGTTCATCCCCAAGCCTTATGAAAACATTATTACAGCTTTAGAGACAATAGAAGATTTAAAATTAGGTTTTGTAAAAAACAGACTGCTTATTGTGGAAGAAAACCCAGCAAGTCACACAAAGGTGCTGCAAACATCATGGGTGATAGTGCTTTTCTGTGATATGGATGTGGGCAACCCGGACATAATAAATTTCAGTGCAAGAACAGACAAAAGAAGGTACTCAGCAAAGCAACAAGTAGAAGAAACAACAACAGATGTCAACAACAAAGCAACAGATGTCAACAACAAAGCAACAGATGTATGTCACGATACAACGAAGGGAAGAGGTCAGAAAAGTACTACTTAAGTATGATGAACAAAGATGTTGATGGTAACAAAAATGTTTCTTTTATGTCATTAAGTAATAATAATGTGAATGGAATGAATAATGCTATGTTGTGTGTTGATTCAGGTACCTATTTTTACATTTAATTAATGATGAAAAATTATTTTATAATTGTAAGAAATTAAGTATTGATTTTGAGGTTACTTGTAATTTCTACTATGTACCTGATGTGAAAAAAAAATATTATTATCATTATCAAAAATCTTTTGTTTTTGTAATGAAAAAAAAAAAAAAACTGTGCCACTACAACCCATGAAAGTTTTTTTTTTGTAATGGCGTTGTAAAAGTATTTTCTGAGGTAAATGGTTTATTAATGTTAGGTAGTAAAGTAGAACCTCTTTATTTTATTGATATAAATGTAATATTTAATGATTGTTATTTCACCAAAGATTTGCCGAAAAAATTGTTCTCATTTGAGCTATATGAATATGAAAATGCTCATAAATAAAAATATGGTTGAAGGTTTAGATAACATACAAGTTAACATGTAAGAATTAATTTTGTGAGCCATGTGCTCTTGGAAAAATAAAACAACTTCCATTCAAACAAATTGGATACAGGGGTAGAAAACTCTTATAACTAATTTATACAAATGTTTTTTCAGTCACTCCTACAACTTGGGTTGGTTGCAAATATTTTGTATCTTTCAATAACGATTTTACAAAATTGTATATTTATTAAAATGAAATGAAAATGAAACAAGAGTTTTGAAGTATTAAAAATTATTATAATTATTCTTGCAATTATTTTGGTACTAGAAATTTAAGTTAAGATCTGACAATGTAGAGAAATATGTTTCAAAGAATTTTAGAACATTTTGTGATAATAAAGGCATAGTTATGCAGCTTACAGCTGCGTTTAATCCCTGAATGAACGGGGTAGCTTAAAAAATTAATAGGACACTGGCAGAGAAAGTTATAATCTTGTTGCTTGATTCAGATCTTTTAAAGGAGTTATGGGATGAAATCCTTCAATTTGCTATTATTTAACAAATAGAAGCCCCACTTCATACCTAAATATCACTCCATATTTATGAAATATGGAAATGAAGAAGGTCTAACTTTATCTAACTTACATAATATTATTACAGTTGGACCTAGATTGAGGAGGAGGATATACCGAGATAAGAAGTATTTGAAAACAACTCTGTAAGATCTAAGTCTCGAAAAGAGATGAGTGCTAAGAGAAAGCAAGAAAAAATAAATGAAGATACAAACTTAAACAAGAGAAAGATTGTAAAACCTAAATATTTGCAAGTCTATGTCATAGACGATGCATCAGATTTAGAACATACATAAAATACCAAGAGGGCAAAGAAACATTGTATGAAGATGTGAAACATGAAATTAAATCTTTAGAAGACAACTAGTCATGGGAAATTAGTAGAAGAATGTAAACATGTAAAACTAATAGGCTGCAGATTTGTATCAAGAAAGCAGATGAATTATATAAAGCAAGACTAGTAGCAAGATGATTTCACCAAGAGGTATCTTTTATGAGATGCATTCACATTTTTTGAAGTTAATGACATTAAGAATACTTTTGTCAATAGCAAAACGATTATTGTTTATATTTTAAAAATGATGTGTATGTATTACTATATGCTGAAAATCTACTAATTTTAGGTGATGATATTTTCAAGATAAATGCTGTAAAAGAATAGTTAAATTCGGAATTTAATAGGAAGGATATAGGCTTGAAACATATAAAATATCAAAGTATAAATATAGGTCCAAATAATTATTATTTGTACATGAATCAAAAGGAATATTTAGAATATTAAAAAATAATAATAATATAATTGATGCTAATCCTTTGAAAGAGGAATGGATTTTTCTCTTAATGTTGAGGATAGTGAGATTGACATGTCTTTAGAATACAAATGCAAACCTTTTATTGGTTCCTTAATGTATGCCGTTGTAAGCACAAAACCTAATTTGTGTGCTACAGTATCTTATTTAGTACTATACTAATCTACCCCATCTATGAAATTATGGCAATGCTTAAATAAAGTTTTAAGATACACTAAAGGTACCATTTTGATATGCTGATAATAATTTTGCAAGAGATAAAGATAGGAAAACAACTTCTGGTTGTGTATTTAAAGTTTTTGTAAATAGTGTTATTTGGAGTTCTAAGAAACAGAGTTCTGTAGCATTAAGTCCTACTTAGGCAGAATTATTTTAACTTTTTTAAGCTACTCCTGAACAATGTTGGATTAGGAAATTAATAAAATAATTAAATGTTGAATGATTGACACTACTGTTATTTATGTAGGTAACAAAAGTACAGTGTTTTTGGTGTGTAATCCTGACCAGAAAAAATTGCGGCATGTTGATGTTAAGTATAAAATTGATGGCAATGAAATAAAAACTAAGTATATTCCCATGAATGAACAATTAGCGGATATTTTTACAAAACCACTAAACAAAGTGTGCCATAAATATATTGATACTTAGAATTAGAATAATGATTATTCATTATTTAGTGTTAGTAATGACTAGAATTAGAGGAAGACGTAGGACTAGAATTAGTTAAGAAAGAAACAGAGGATAAACTCGGGACAGATGGCTGGAGGATGTGGAGGACGGTCTATGATGGCTGGGTGTTAGAAGATGGAAAGAGACAGCATAGGATCATGCAGATTGGATGGATGTAGTGGCCCGGATTCTTGCAGGACCATAGTGCCATTGTAATAATTATTATTACCATTGACCATAGTATTGCCATTGAAATAATTTTCATCATAAAATAATTGTAATAATAATAATAATATGACTAAAATTATATTTATTATAAGTGTATTTATTTTGTATTCTTTTTAGTATTAGATTAATGAATATTATATATTAGATTATTTTAGATATTGTATTTGTATATGATATTTTTTGTTATGTAATTTATTGATTAATTGATATAAGTCATTGAGAAGTGTTATATCAATGATTTATTTGTACACTAACAACACTGAAGTTAATACAGATGGCAGTTGCCAGGTTGCCTATTGCCATGTTATGCCAAAGGTCTCTCATAATTTGGAAGCACATGGTGCATGTGGCTAAGTAAAGGTATTTTTGGCAAAAGTTTGGTTTATTATTCACCATTATACCCGCAATCCTTAACAGCTCGAAGGAGAAAAGGACATAAAGAACCAATCTAAACCGCAAGTAAAATTCATTAATTAAAAATAGCACACCAACCACCATAGAATAAATTCATGTAATAATCATCATGTAATAGTTCAATACAAAATTTAATTAATTAACTAACAGAATAATGACATTATAATAGATTTGGCCACTCCTATGTAAGATGTTTTATCCTTTAACTTTTAAATAAAGCAATCAATTTACTACCGCATGTTTTTCAGTTTACCCTAGATACAATAGATTCAATCCACTAGCAACTACGAAACCAATTAACCATAAGAAAAGCTGTATTATTATGGTAATGTCCCAGATAAAAAAAGGGAATGTCATAACAAATAAAAACAGATACTATCTTTTTATCATACACTAATGATATTTTTAAATCACAAACCTTCAATCCACACTTCATGAATAACCAATATGAATATCTTGTACCACAATATGTTCCTTCTGCTTTTGGCATACAGGTATAAAAAGAATTAAACAATTACAGTGGATTCTTGCTAATCTGAAACTCCTTAATTTGAACCATTCCATAATCCAGACCACCCTTTAAAAAACTAATTAAGATTTGATTTTATGTATTTAGTAGATACAAGCATTCAATACATTCAGTAAAACTTTATTATCTTAAATAATTGAGATAAAAATACCAACTTCTTTTATTTAAAACAATATCCATTAGAAATATTAAAATTTGAAAGGTTATTTATTTTTTTAATTTCTTTATCAGTGGATATAGCTAACCTTTTTACTAAATTAATCTTAAATGCAAAATTGTATTGTTAATACAATTTTAGTTGAAGCTATTGAAAAACAATCAATTATGACTTTTGAGAAATACATAGTATTTCACAAGAAAATAGTGAACAAATAAATTTCTCAACATTAATTATAAATAATTAATTATTGTAAAAATTGAGTATTTAAAATTGATTTATTATATATGAAGTTTCCTTTGTTTCCACATACAGTAATACGAACTTTTAGTTAATCTGGACCTCCTTGATTTTAATTAGTTCGGATTAGCGAGAACCGGCTGTATCTAATCATATTTACTTTATAAATTCTTTTTTTTTTAATTCAATATAACTGTCTTTTGTTGTGAACTGTTCATGTCAATTAAAAACTCAAGTAAGTAAACAGTGGAATTAATAAAAAGTTGTTTGCACCCAGCAACTAATGGATTGGCAGAAGGAAGTATTTATACACTCAAGAATTGCAATCGTTTATTGTTCTTTTTATACTTTTTTTCCAACTTTTTTTTATATCTTATGCTACTGTAACTGGTGGGAGGAACTAGTCTGGTAAGTGGCCTGGTGGTATTTTTTCCAACCCCTGGCGGTTACCTTGATGTTGCCCCCATGTACTTACAAGTAAGGGAATGTTAAAATTCATTTCCCAGGGCTGCCAAGAAATATATATTAATCCACAACGTTCAGAACCGGGCACCCTAGGACCCATCCCCTCCCCCAACATGCTCCGCTATCCCTTCCTCATATTTTATGCTAGCATTAATCTTTATTGATGTATTATTTTATTTTTGTGGTTTTGAAAAGTAAGTAAAGATCCTTTTTACTCTAATTTTGGTAAAAATATATTTTTCACCAAATTTTTATGAATAGTAAATATTATATAAATGTTTCTTGTTCCAATCCAATACAATAGTTATATATTGTAGATGAAGCATAGACAAATAAAATCAATGAGTAAAAAATAAATATTCTAAATGGTATATTGAATGTTTACAAATTAATTTATGTCACTTTCTAATTATTAACCATTTCATTGCTGTTTGTAGGATTAACAAATCTACATAACTGTATTAAATAATTATGTTGAGCTTATACAGTATCTAAATAGTGATAATGCCAAAGAAATCAGGTTTATAAGAATTATAACTTTCCAATTCTCTTACTTATAAAAGCATTTACTATAATATACAACAAGAGGAACTGAGGGTATTTTTCAAATAATCAGGTCATGTTCACAAAATTAATTTTAACTATCATAATTGAATAACATTTGTAAAGATTTGCATAAAAATAATTCGTTACAGAATCAACACTTTACATCATCTATATTACAACATACTTGTTTACGTACTTTGTATAAGTCTTACCTGATAAATCTTTTTAAATCATTGTTACATATATGATTAGTTATACTAAAGAAAAGTTTAAAAAAGGTAACATACATCTAATATTAAAATTTAGTGGTTCAGTATGAATACTGACAGTTAGGAAACAGGTCTAAACTGTTTCCCATGAAAGATGCTATATTCACGAACACAATTGTTGATACAATATAGTTTACTATATAATCAGGCTAATCCCTTCTAAGTAACATATTTTCAATAGCAAACAATTTCACATTATTGTATAACAATGAAGTAACATTATTTTATGTATTATATACCAAGAACTTTAGAAATAATGTCATATAAAAATAAAAAAATTCAAAACCATATTCATTAGTATAAAGATTCTACTCTTTATCATTTTATTATGTATGGTTTTTACAGTCAACTAAATAAGATACACTGATTGTTCTTTTATACACTTATTTTATAAGCATTGGATAACTATACACATGTAATAAAATTTTAAAATATAAAGATACACTATTTTATTGTTGATTATTCACAAATTTTCATTAAACATTTCTTGTTGAGGATATGGAAGAAATTACTTAGCTGTTTTTGATAGTGCCTTTCAGATATATATGGAAGATAGTATATTATAATTGACTGCAAGAATAAAAATAATAATAATAATCTATTGTTCTTGTTACAACACTTTTTTACTTATAACAGCTTATTGATAAAAACAGTTTTGTTTTTTCTTTGAAATCATAATACCTTATCATGATTGGGAGAAAAAAGAATATAAAAGCAATTAGTTAGTTCCACCTTAATAAAATTTTATATGATAATACTTGTGTATTATCACATTAAGAAAATTAACATTTATGCTAAATTAATATATAATTAAGTTTGAATTTCGATAAAAGATCTTTATTTGAATCATTGACATTATTAAAGATATATTGTCTATTTCAGAAACATTTTTGTTGGATTTTTTTTTATTATCAAAAAATTCTGTGTTTTCGGGAAGAACATGTATTGTATGTGTAAACATGGTGCAAAGAATTATATCATTACTATTAATGAACATAACATAAAAATAAGACCTTTTGTACTACAGGTTTTTTTTGTTCTTTCTTTTTTTACAACAATATATAAAAAATAAAGCAAACAAAGTGGCCAATTCCATTCTATAAATGCATTACTTTTTTCTCACAAAAATATTACATTCTCTTTGCTCTGACCTGTTGTTAGTAAAATATAAATTTACAGTGTCGATATTTTTATCACATTGAGACATTATTTAATTTATGTAACACAGGAGACAAATTTTTGTATAAAATTTACAATAAAAATTCAACAACTTAACCCTATTATTGGTGTATAATTATTAAAAGAGCTGAGGAAATGAAACAATACCAGTTTTATCTATTAAAATACAGAATATAAAATACAATCCTTGATTAAAAATAACATAAAAGACTGATTGGTTTGCTAAAATAATGTCTCTTGCGACCAAGTACAATGTTCCACAATAGTTTTACTTCCTTCAGCTTCTGATGAGTGTTCTTGCAGAATTTTTACTAGCTGATCACATGAAACACTCATATAAGCTCTAGGAACAAAAATAGACTTATCACTTTTCTCACATGTTTGTTCATCACCACCTGTACTGGCATGAATAGTATCACTGTCACTTGATGTCTTTGTAACACGACTTATTCTTCTTTCTGAAACCATCCTGGATATGGAAGTTGATGGACATGTATTATCTTCTAGGCTATCTAGCTGTCTAAGCGGATTGTCACTTGTTTTAAGACATGGATTCGGTGTTGAAAATCTACGAAGTGGTACCCTGTTGTCTCTTGAATGTTCTGTGGTTCTTTTAGAACTCCTGTTGGCATGTTTTTGATCGATGGACGGTATATCACATTCAATGTTTTCTGCATCACTGTCTGTTGAAAATTCTTCAACTTCATCCTCTGTATCTACTAGTTCTTCATCCAGAAATACAGAATCTGAACCAACAGAGTGATTATCGTGTTCAATACTTGGCAACCCACAACTACTGATTGATGCTAATGGGGCTATTCTTGGAACATTCAGTCCATCTTTAAGTATTTGGCAGTTATACAACGAATTCTGAGATTCACAAGGAGATGTTTCTGGTGTGGGTTGTATAACCTATAACAGAGAATATATTTATATGTCTGGTTCATGAACTAGAAGGTAATAAAATAATTGTGACAACATTTTAATTTAAGCTTACCAAAAGTTATGCATAGATTTTTTGACAAATCTCAATTCCACATCTCTAATAAAAATATTAAGTTTTATTCAATGTCTAAATGAATGAGGAAATTGTATTACTTTACTTTATGGATATTAAGGGTATTTTTGACACCTTACATGGAGAACAGAATC